GCAAACATGCACTTTGGGACTAAATCTGAAGTTCCACAGTACTGGTTTACTTTTAAAAAAGGAATAATAAAACCAGCGTAGCTCCAGACTCTGAGCACATGCCCTCCATTCTGGTTTGTACCTTGAGAATTTGCTGGATTCCTCAGTATGTTTTATAGTGCCCTTCTCACACATCCATATAGAAACGGTTTTCTGTATTTCTTTGGCTTAGCTAGAATGTATTTCAGTGCATGTTTCCCAATTAGAAAAGATGCTCTGCATTTTCCTGATTTCTAGGACTATCATCCTACCAATTTTCTTAAATAAAGTACATATCCCACTACAGATTCCACTTTCCTCTCTCTGAACTCATTTTCTAGAGCCTATTTTACCTTGTTTTCCTACCCTTTCAATACCACTTACCACTTATGAACAATTAAGTGGTACCCTTTCAATACCATTTAATTCCTCTCCCTTCACATCCATTTAGATCACTCTATGCTGTGCAAGGTCTCTCTCTCATTATCTTACCTTTCTCCCTCCTTGCCATACATCCAAATTCCCTGAGCTGACTGTAAGAGCCTGGCTCAGTAACTCCAGGTATGAAAGTCTACACCTCTAATTCTACCTCAGATCATTTTAATCCCCCTAGTTCTCTGTTTGTGTGTCATAATCCTTTCCATCATACCCTTCTACTGTGGCTCTGCATCCAGCCACCACAAAATAACTTTGATTTGCAGTCATGTTTGCCTCAGGTGGGAATTTCACAAGACTCCAGCCTTGGCCTAACGTTTTCTGTGATGGAAACGGCACTGTTCTTATTACAGTATCACAGTATCACAGTATGCTAGAGATTGGAAGGGACCTCGAAAGATCATCTAGTCCAATCCCCCTGCCAGAGCAGGAACACCTAGATAATGTTACACAGGAACGTGTCCAGGCGGGTTTTGAATGTCTCCAGGGAAGGAGACTCCACAACCTCCCTGGGCAGCCTGTTCCAGTGTTCCGTCACCCTCACTGAGAAGAAGTTTCTTCTCAAGTTTAAGTGGAACCTCTTGTGTTCCAGTTTGTACCCATTACCCCTTGTCCTATCATTGTTTGCCACTGAGTAGAGCCTGGCTCCATCCTCGTGACACTCCCCCTTTATATATTTGTATACACTAATAAGGTCACTCCTCAGTCTCCTCTTCTCCAAACTATAGAGACCCAGCTCCCTCAGTCTTTCCTCATAAGGGAGAAGTTCCACTCCCTTAATCATCTTTGTTGCCCTGTGCTGGACTCTCTCCAGCAGGTCCCTGTCCTTCTTGAACTGAGGGGCCCAGAACTGGACACAATATTCCAGATGTGATCTCACCAGGGCAGAGTAGAGGGGAAGGAGAACCTCTCTCGACCTACTAAACACCCCCCTTCTAATACACCCCAGGATGCCATTGGCCTTCTTAGCCACAAGGGCACAGTGTTGGCTCATGGTCATCCTGTCGTCCACTAGGACCCCCAGGTCCCTCTCCCCTACACTGCTCTCTAACAGGTCGTTTCCCAACCTATACTGGAACCTGGGGTTGTTCCTGCCCAGATGCAGGACTCTACACTTGCCCTTGTTATATTTCATCAAGTTATTCCCTGCCCAACTCTCCATCCTGTCCGGGTCTCGCTGGATGGCAGCACAGCCTTCTGGCGTGTCAGCCACTCCTCCCAGCTTAGTGTCATCAGCAAACTTGCTGATAGTACACTCAATTCCCTCATCTAAATCGTTGATGAATATATTAAATAATACCGGTCCCAGTACTGACCCTTGAGGCACTCCACTAGTTACAGGCCTCCAACTAGACTCAGCCCCATAGACCACAACTCTCTGGCTTCTCTCCTTCAGCCAGTTCGCAGTCCACCTCACTACTTGATCATCCAGTCCACACTTCCTCAATTTAGCTGTGAGGATGCTGTGGGAGACTGTGTCAAATGCTTTGCTGAAGTCAAGGTAGACCACATCCACCGCTCTGCCATCATCCATCCACTGTGTTATTTCCTCATAAAAGGCTAAGAGATTCCAGCAAAGACTAACTGCATTTGAAGAACTTCAACCCTCAGTAAGGAAACTCAAATTTCCCTTTTTCAAACTCCTTTTTTTATTTTAATCTTTTGAGTAATCTCCTTAATTCTGAATTCATAAAATAGTACTCAAGTGCATAAGGCATCTTATACAATGATTCAGCAGCCTCTGAGTGAGAACCTTCAAGCACCTGTATCACATATGGTACTCTCCATCTATAACTGAGAGAAACAAACATAAACTTCCTCAGCCATAGCCTTCTTTATGAGAGACCTGCCTACAGGGAAGGAAAGAAATGGCTTGCAGTGGCATGCACCCCTACTCACCCTGTCCCTTAACAACTAACAAGAGTGCATTTCATGCTTCATGGGGAAAAAGGGATGAAGGTAGGACACACAAGGAAAATCTGGAAAATAATCTTTCACTCAGCTGGCTTTTAGGGCTATTCACTCTGATTTGGGTCCATCCTTCACCACCATATCACCAGGACCTGCCCCCGAGGTCTTTACCACTAAGCTCTGATTTTCTGTTAACTTTTGAAATGCCACAATCACCAATTTTAATGGTAAAGACGAATACTCTCATCAAACACCCAGGGGCAATATAAAGAGCTAAAACTTACCAGAATCAAGGGCTAAAAGAGCTCTTCTCACTTCTACTTGCATTAAGGAGAAAACACCTTCTAATGAGGAATACTCTCCTTTAAATCAGAGTATTTCTTCAAATTAACATTATTGATATACTTATTCTTTACCTATGAGCAGTGTTTGAACTGCTAGTGGGACAAAAGGTTAAATCCAGGAAAAGAAGTACCAGTTAAAATAAATGCTAAAAGCCATATGAAGAAAGAGCACTTATAACTACAACCATCCAGGACACACCCATCAGCTCAAAAGACTTAAATGTCACAAATGAAGGCATATAAATATATATATATCTCCCCTGGAAGAAAGAAAAAAAGGAAAATGTAGACCCAAGAGGGAAAGACTGACTGTTTACACACCTTTCTTCAAAATCAATTCTTTTCAGGCACTAGGGAAAACTGGAGTTGGAGGGTTTTGAAATCAAGTACATAAGCAATTATACTCCAGTGTTTGCTGCAGGCTCAAGGGCCATGACACACACTTTCATGAGAAAGAAATGGTACTATGGGTTCTCTTAGTAAAAAGGACTTTGTATTTCATTTGTCTGAAAGAAACTGATCACAGCTTTAGGATCCCTGTTATCTTGTTATTGTTATTACATCTGGTTAAAGTTTGCCACTTTAAGCATACCTCAATTATAATGCATCATGCGTGCAATTCTCTTCACTGTCACAAGTATTGCAGATGGTTTATTTCCTCTCTATATGTTAGAGAAAGAAGTTAACTCATCGTTCAAATCTGTACTGTTTGGACACAGAATTTTTTTATTTGTTTTACATAGTAAAGCATGAAAATCTGGAGACAATGTTGCGTTTTTATAAAAATCAGGTTCCTCTTAAGCTGAAATTGGTTATCTTAAATAGTTGTATTATATTGACAACCCTGATAATACCACCTCCTTACACAGCCTGACTGTACAACCTGCTTCCAGACGGGCAGCCCTCATATGATCTTGCATTTAAGCAGTAAGTATTATCACTTCTGTCATATTTGCTATAAATAAAATGGAACAATGTCAAAAGATGGTGCTCAACACAGAGACAGGGATGGAATTTTAATGGAGCTCCACAAAACCTGCTCCAAAGTCTGCATTAAAAAAAATAAGAATGTAGATTTTATATAGTGAAGATAAGATATAAAACTGCAGAACTTGAGAATAAAAAAATAAAATAAACCAACAAAACAACCACTCAACAGTGTTCTTAGAAAAAAACGGAAAAATGTTAAAAAATGAGCAAAGGTTTTTTTGTCTGTTTATAGCCCTAAAGATAAAAGGCTCTAGAGAAAAATTAAAACAAGTCCTAATGCCATTATAGTTGTCTTTCAGTAATTAATTTTCTCTGCAGTGACTTGTGTGTGCATTATTTGTCATAGTTATTGCTTGTTTTCTCTATTATGTCAGGCTGCAAGCTTGATTTCATAAATGTTAATAACATTTAGCAGTTAAGCTTTAATTCGGTGTCTAAGATATTTATGTTTTCTCTCCTCAGTTTCTAAAATTTCAGCAATAGCTCAAGATCAGTTTTTTAAAAAATAGAGATAAATCTCCCTCTCAATTAGACATTTAAAAATATATCACAAATTAAAAAAAAAGTTACAGCATGTTTCAAAAACTAACCCTAGGGCAGGATTTTAAAAATCCTCATTCTCTACTTTTGTGTAAGTAAGTTAGTGGCAAGCCTGCCACCAGCTTCATCCAGAGCAGATACAGAGTTTTGATTATGTACACACAGTACACACACAGTACACAATATGCTAGAGATTGGAAGGGACCTCAAAAGATCATCTAGTCCAATCCCCCTGCCGGAGCAGGAACACCTAGATAATGTTAATTTATGATTTATGTCAAGTCATGTTAGTCTGCCTTGCAATGGATTAGAATTTCTTGGGTGAGATGGTTTAGTGTGAGGTGTCCCTGCCCGTGGCAGGGGGGTTGGAACTAGATGATCTTAAGGTCCTTACCAACCCTAACTATTCTATGATTCTATGATTCTAAGAATTGCATAAAGGCAATCACTGGGTATGAAAAGGGAGGCTGTGACAGGGGGACATACCAACTGGTCCAGACCATTTTGATATGGACATGCAACAATGTGTTTGGAAGACAAGCAAGTCATTCTAAAACCCACATGCATTAATGTACACATACACACATGGTGCTGAAGTGATAAGACACCTCCTCTTCAACACAGGAATTCTGCATAGCTAAAGACCAGCAGTTTGTCTACCCCTGCACATTTAAACAGACCTTCGCAGTTGCCTCTTACTGCTGCCAGATGCCAGGGGGCATGCCCTTAAATTAATTCCGAATTAAAACTACAATCACTTACCTCATCCACATTCTCAAAGGCATTGATGATGTCATACGGTAAACAGGATAGAAGATCAATCACAAACCATGTTTTCAGGTAGTTCATCCTTATGAGTTTGGGATCAGAGATAACCTCTCCACCAGGGCCAACAAAGGTTGTATGAAAGTTCAAAACAATGTCAACCAAAAAAATAACATCCACGACACTGTCCAGCACAAGCCAGGCAATGTTGTTCTGTTTGGTTTTGAAGGAGACATTGTATGGAACCATAATTGCTGTGTAGAAGGTTAGAATTAAAATGACCCAGTCCCAAGTGGTCTTAAAAGCACAATAGTGTAGTATAATGTGTGGTGGAGTCTTTGGAGCTTCTTGCTTGTACTGAGGAAGAATATCAGATCCCAGCTGGAGAACCTGTAAAGGACAGAAAAGAAAATGTTACTGATTTCAATTAATATACTCCAATAAGGGGGCTTATGGATTTCTGTAAGGAGCAGCACAAAGATGTGACTGTGTTCGTTGGACATTGCAAGTCAACCCGCTGGTTCTAAATGATCTGATTTATTTAGAGTGTGTAGAGGCAGCTATCACCCGGTGCATGGGAACAACATAGAATCTAAGGAAATTCTTGTAAAAAGGGAGGCTTTTGCATATGGACTGATTGAAAGGAAAACCATCCCAATAGCAAGGGCAGAGGGGTTCCATAAACAGGTTGTGCATACTGACATCCCAGCTTATACTTTGCAGTTATGAATATGTGTATCCATTCACCTTTGGAAGTGTTACAAGACTAGCCCTTCATGAGTGACCTCTTTTTTAAACCACTGTTGAGCCAGAACAATACCATAACAAGGTAAACCAGACTTCAACTTTGCTGGCTGACTTCCTTCTAAAACGAAGCACTGCATGCACAATTTCTGTCTTAACACCCTGGCAATATCATGTTTCCTTCTCATTTTCTTCAAAACATTGTTCCACTTACAAGCTCAGTATCACTAGTGGCTTCTCTTTTATTTCTTGTAATTACTTTTCTTGTTTGCATGCCTATAATCTCCTAGATGCGCACTTTTGTAAAATGTGGAATTGGAAACATTTCATAGAAACCAAGCCAAATTCACTTAAGACATTCCTCCCAGCTAATCTAATTACCTCTTTTCTCAGTTCAAGACAAGAAACAAAAGCACGAAGGAATGCACGTGGTGGTATATTGCACTGACAATTGAAAGATTCATGTGTATTGTGGAACTAATAACACCTTTTACTTTGGGGGATCTCAAGACTGTATGGGATAAAATAAATCATTCCAGCAACTTTAAATCTCATTTCAGCCCTATACCTGTCCTATACTGAAACAGGGACAGTTAGATTGCAAAACACAGTCCCATATATGTAAAAATGATCAAACACAGGATTCTTCCTCAATGAAGAAGACTAATGGCTCTGAATAAACAGCACGACAACTAAGAACATGAAAGTACCACACATACGGATTCTCCCTTAATTCTTTGCAGTCATATTTTTAAGATGAGAAAGCTGTCACTGAGATCAGGTAGTAAAAGTCTGGCTCTATTGAAAATGTGTTCTTCAGAAATCACCAGGGGACAACAACAGCAGCCCCTCCCATTCTGTGTTGGAGGATGTGGCTTCCCACCATGCCTAATCTGTCCCAGTGACAGGCTGTAACCTCATGTGATGCAAACCTGCTTCTGCCTACCTGATCCCACCCTCCATAAAGTCAGTTTTAGCGATCAAGACCTGTAAAGCAAGTTGGTTAAAGTGACATATGGTGTTTAATATTTTCATCAACGACCTGGATGAGGGAACTGAGTGTACCCTCAGCAAGTTCGCTGATGACACTAAACTGGGAGGAGTGGCTGACACACCAGAGGGCTGTTGCCATTCAGCGAGACCTGGACAGGCTGGAGAGTTGGGCGGGGAATAACTTGATGAAATTCAACAAGGGCAAGTGTAGAGTCTTGCATCTGGGGAAGAACAACCCCATGTACCAGTACAGGTTGGGGGCTGACCTGCTGGGCAGTAGTGAAGGGGAAAGGGACCTGGGGGTCCTGGTGGACAGGAGGATGGCCATGAGCCAGCAATGTGCCCTTGTGGCCAAGAAGGCCAATGGCATCCTAGGGTGCATTAGAAAGGGTGTGGTTAGTAGGTCAAGAGAGGTTCTCCTCCCCCTCTACTCTGCCTTGGTGAGGCCACACCTGGAATATTGTGTCCAGTTCTGGGCCCCTCAGTTCAAGGACAGGGACCTGCTGGAGAGAGTCCAGCACAGAGCCACAGATATGATTAAGGGAGTGGAACATCTCCCTTATGAGGAGAGGCTGAGGGAGCTGGGTCTCTTTAGCTTGGAGAAGAGGAGACTGAGGGGTGACCTCATCAATGTTTACAAATATGTAAAGGGTGAGTGTCAGGATGATGGAGCTAGGTTTTTTTCAGTGATGTCCAGTGATAGGACAAGGGGCAATGGGTGTAAACTGGAGCATAGGAGGTTCCATGTGAACATCAGGAAAAATTTCTTTACTGTGAGAGTGACAGAGCATGGGAACAGGTTGCCCAGGGGGGTTGTGGAGTCTCCTACATTGGAGATATCCAAGGCCCGCCTGGACAAGTTCCTGTGTGATGTACTCTAGGTTACCCTGCTCTTGCAGGAGGGTTGGACTAGATGATCTTTTGAGGTCCCTTCCAACCCTTAGGATTCTGTGATTCTGTGACATGATGAAAAACTAACTTATTGTTACATTAGTTAGCAATTTGTTTTCTACAGCGTCAGCTGAATTGCAAAAATTATCCTGTGGCCAGAAAACCACTAGACCCACCACAGAGGCATCAGTGAGAGTGTGGCAAAGACCTCCAGGAGACCATGGCTGTTCCCTTTGCCAACAGCCTCATATGACAACAGCTTCGATGTAACACTAAGCCATGGGTTGAGCTCCAGATGAACAGCAACGCACACTGAGCAGTGTGGTCCCAACGGCACTTGCCAGAGACCCTCATAGATGTCAAACATCTGGTAATATAAAAATATCAACCTTCAGGTGCTCCTTCCCTAGTGACCAGGGCAAGGCTCACTAACAGTGTTCCTACAACCACCAACTGGAAAGGTTTAGCTGGCCACTGAAGCGCACTGAACTTGCTGGTGGATTGATGGGTCCTTCCCTGGAATAAAAGCAATGATCAATACAGTCATTTTTTCACAGCAGCCTTTGTGCCAAAATAATACCCTGCATTTAACACACTGTTTTGGCTTTGACTCATAATCTGGTCATTATTGCCAGTTATGTCTTTGGGCTCATCTGTGGTCAACTTTATTGGCATTATAAATCAGGACTGGGATTTATTCCTCAGTTTCTCCAGACCTATTTGTTTCCTGCCTTGTTCACTGGGGCAGAAGCTGGAAACAGCCTCACTATAGCTGGAATAAAAAGCTACTTAGGGCTCAAGCCAAATGTAATGAACATATGCTTGATAGTTCCCTATGCCTCCGGTGGTGGAGTGCTTAGGAGTACCCATGATACTGTAAAAGCATAATTAGTATTCTTAACATAATTTCATGCTGAGTTTGACATGGTGAGTGGGCAGCAAGTGGCTGTGGAGACCACTGAACTATAATGATTATTTCTTTTATGCTGCATGAATTTTTAATTTTAAATGACTAAAGAATACACAATATCGTGTTAGTCAGCTGCATTCATTAGACTCTCTGAATTATTCTTATTGACAACTAATGAAAATGGCTGATAATAGTTATGGCTGATGAAAGTGGGCAGTACTGCAAGGGATGAACTGTGACAATGCTTCTCCTCAGACACAGGAGTACAGAAAGTGGGGCCTGTACCATGATGGTGTATAACTCCACTCAGTCTGCATTCCTCACAGCACTTTGCCTAGAAAGCAGACTGCAGCTCTAAGCAACTTGTAAGAGAAGACTGCACACTCTTCAAGCAACTTTCTCCCTCCTATTCCTGAGTACAACTTTCTCCCTTACCTGAACTTTTCTTATTGCCCAATCTAAATCCTCCTTACCGTGACTTAATGCCATTACTTTTTCTCTAGCTATAGTGGTCTTGGTGAACAATTTCCTCCCTCATTCTATGTAACACTTTAGACTTATTTGAATAATGTTACCATATCTTTTCCAGTCTTCCCTTTTCTACATTAAACCAATAATGGATGTAACTGGATTTACAGAACACTGAAATGTCATGAATTAGAAAAGCAAGATGTGAGAGTAGCTTCAGCAGTCATCCAAGTTATTGATACAGGGTAATTCAAGGGGAAATACCACACTGCCAAACACCTGAAAACTATGGGTTTCCATTCTGATTTTAATTAGTGCCTTTATTATTGAAGTCCACTAAAGCCATAAAGGGAAGGAAAAAAAACCCAAAGCATTTAAAGTTGCTACTAGTTCTTAGCATCGAACCCAAAACAAACTCTCTGGCATGATGTGTCTAGGGCTGTCATTTTCAGTAAACCATACATTCTGACTATATATTTTGACCCATATGTTTTTCATTACCAATGTACATGAAGATGAATGCAGTACCTCCATTTCATCAGTTAACCTGAAGGCATTCACTTGTTGCACCATCTGCATTGTTAAGGAGATGTTTGCAACCTGCCAAAGAGTTCATTCCATCAGTTTTGAAGAAAAAAGTGATGAGCAAAATATTGCAGGAATGACTTTGCAAGAAAGTTGAGATTAAGGTACATATGTAGTCAGTGTGCCTTGCACAAGGCCACGGACCTAGACAGGGATACTTCAAAAGAGGTTCATCAAACATTTCCCTGGGAGAGTAAGCGACCATCCACAGGGCTCAAAGATGTCAAGTTCTGTTCCATGTCACTGTGAAACAGTTTGTAGAGCAGCACACTGTGCACCCCAAGTTAAGCAACAAGCAGCAAACTGAGAACTGCATCCACAGAAATAGGGCAGTGTAGGTAAAATGACCTATGGAGACTGTTTTCATGACTGAAAGAACATAACCTGTCCCAGAAACATGGGCTTGGCACATAGTGCTGCTTAGGATGAGCAGAAGGGATGCTGAAAAAAAAATCAGGGTTCGGAAATATTTTCCTTTAAAAGTATTTCTTCTTAACGGGTATTAGGGCTTTTTTCCCCATCTCTTCCTGCCTTACAAAAGTAGCAAACTGGTATCTGCCCCACTTACTTCTGCTAACCGGGAGTGCTTGTGCACCACCTCAGCTTTGTTCATTGGCGTTAGCTGCTGCAGTACGCTCCGGCTGTTTGTCAGGGCCCGCGTCAGCCGAGCAAATTTCGTCCAACCTGCAGGGAAGAAGGAAATCCTGTCAGAAGTACTCAGACCTCATTCATTGCTAGTAAATCTCCTTCATGTTTATGGATATTAAGTCTCAGACTTGAATATTTGCTCTAAACGGCTGCACAGAACAGCATCAGACTCCAGGCTTTAAGACTTGCAAAAGAGGAAAAATACCCCTGCTTCAAGGCAACTACAAGTAAATCTTAGTGAAATCAAAATGCTCTGGCTCGTTCTTTCTTCTGCCTTTTGGAGACATTGTGTTAGAGGGATCACATTATGCTTTCAGCCTTCTGGGGCTGAAAGCTAATTCTAAGCCACTGAAGTTAATGCCAAGTTAATTCCCAAGTCTGTAAATCCTGCTGAAGTAAAATCCTCCCCAGCTACAGAAAGGCTCCTGCTGATTCAGGGCCACTGGAGAAGCCCCAAAAGTCTGATCCTAAAGTCTTTACTGTTTCTTACCCCAACTAGATTTCAGGGACAAAAAAAAAAATAATACAACCAAAATCAGCAAAATTCAGGACTGCATCAAGAGCAAAACTTCAGAATTAAAAGAAATAAAATAAAAATCATTAAGACTTTAAAGACAGATTAAGTTCTAGATTTTAAATGGCATCAAGAAATACATTTAGCTGTTAAACTAATGATAAACAGCTGCCTTAATGGTAGCTTGAGACCTACACACTGGGCAGGCCCTAGGGAATTCTTTGTGCAACATTTAGAAAGAGTTTGTTACTGATGGTAGCATCAACCTAGAAATGTGACATCACATCGTTCCTGCTGGGAAAACACTCGAACATGACATCTGGAGTGATGCGTCAATGGATGAGGTAGACCAGCAGTAGCAAAGAAAACACCAGGGGTTTAAACAGTATAGCACCTTGGTGTTAAGCAGGAAAACTGAAAATCCATGTATCCACAGGAAGGAAATGGCTCACCAGGAGCACTGAAGGATAGGCTCAGCACTCAGTTTAGGCAGGTATAACCTGGTATTTTGCTACACAGGTGTGTATAAAATGTCAAACAACTTATGGACAGGAAATGGGTTCAGGAGAAGGCATTACTTTTAACTTGAATGCTGAGTATGTGAAAACTGGGGGAAATGTCACATCTGAGAAATAGAAATGTTGCGTTTCCTGTTAGCTAGGTTTATTTTTAAATGCCTGTTGTCTGGTAGGAGTCACAGACTTGGAAAGTTAAAGGAAGCCCTGCGGTAGATAAAATGAAGAGCATAGAGCAGACAAGACAATAGAACTTCAAGAATAAAATAGTTTACAATTTGGCTTTGCAATTTACCACATATATATCTTGGTCACACAAACGTAAATCCGTTGTTCATCCTTTAATAATCAAAACAGATCTAAATATCATGACCCACAACCAGCTCAGCACAAAGCATTTGTGTCAGGATATTTATATATGACCTCAAAAATGCACATAAAAAATGCACTGGGAAAAGGTTAAAAAAAAAAAAAAAAAGAAGTATTTTATTAACTTTTCACATCTAAATCTTAAATGTGAACTTTGGATATGCCTTATGCTTCTTGAGCTAACAGGGATATCCAATTAGGAACGTGTACTTTCTGTATTTAAACAAGGTCAAGAGAGACTATAGTGATCTGAGTATGAACTATTAATTTGTAGGATAAAAAAAACGTGGCTTTCTTTTTCCTAATTGTCTATGAAACTGTGGCAAAGAGACAGCTTTAAGACAAAAGTCAGAACTGTTCTTAGCCAGTGATTTCAAAGAGTCAACTGAGCATGGTAATAGCACCATGGCAGCTCTGCCTCGACATTTCTCATAACTGCTGGAGGCCACCATGCATCCAGCTACAAACACACTGCATGTCTGTAGCATGCCATGCTTGGCACGCTACAAACACACTGCAAGAGTGAGAGAAAAAGAGCAGCTCTCCTCTGGGAAGCTGGTCACCCACCTCCAGGCCCCGGGCAGGCGCTTTCACACACGTGCACACACTCAGTGCCCTCTTCCCCTGGAAAGACGCTTCCGTGTGGTTCATGGGGATGAATTCAGGCCATTCCCCAAGCTTTCCTTTTTCACCCTGCCCCACAGAGCTGATACAAGATTGACTGAAAAGCACTCAGCAAAGCCAAAACCACCACAGCCAAACTGCTGGATTCAGTCCTGAGCACCTTCATTTGTCACATCCCAGCTTTGTCAGCTACTCCAACGGGAACCTCATGAAGTTCAACAAGAAGTACAAAGTCCTGTTCCTAAGGAGGTACAACTCCATGCACCAGGATGTGCTGAGGGCCATCCAGCTGGAAAGGAACTTGGCAGAAAAGTACCTGAGGATCCTAGTGGACCAGAGTGAACACAAATCAGCAGTATGTCCATGCTAGAAAGAAGGCAAATGGCATCCTTGGCTGCATTAGACAAAGCACTGCCAGCAGGTCAAGTGAGCTGACCCTTCCCATCTACTCAGCACTGGTGAGGCCAGTACTTGGATTGCTGTACTTAGTTTTGGGGTCCCCAGCACAAGAGAGACATGAACATACTAAAGGGAGTCACAAAGGCCCACAAAGATAACTAAGGTACTGGATTGTCTCTCTTATGTGGAAAGACTGGGAGAGCTGGGACTGTTCAGCCTGGAAAAGAAAAGGCTCGGGGTGGGGGACAGATATTAATATATATAAATACCAGGAGGAAAGGTGCAAAGAGGACAGTGTCAGGCTTTTTGGTGCCCAATGACAGGGCCAGAGGCAATGGGAAAAAAACAAAACATGAGGTTCTGTCTGAGCACCAGAAAACAGTTTTACTGTGAGGGTAACTGAGCAGTAGCACAGGCTGCCCAGAGATGATGTGGAGTCTCCATCCCCAAGATACTCAAAAGCTGTACGGACATGGTCCTGGGCAATTGGTCATAGGGGGTCGTGCTTGAGCAAGGGGATTGGACAAGATGACCACAGAGGAAGCTTCCACCCTCAACCATTCTATGATTCTGTGACCTTTTTGATGGCTGATGGTTAATGATTCAATGTTTACTTTATTTTCTGAGATTTAGAGCATGGATTTGTACAGTGATTAGATGAGGATCTGGCAATAATAGGGGATGGCTTCATGCAGTCTCTTGAAATTCTTTCCCACGGTTCTTCACAGACTGAGACCACTCACAAAAATATGGGTTTTAAAAATACCTCTCCTCTTGTAAAAGCAAAACTGGTGAGAAACCACTTGTCTTTGTCTTTGGTAAGAAAAATATTAACTGCAAATACAGAAAGCCTGGGGAAGCTGGGGAAGATGTACTACAAGGAGCTGGAAGAGCAAGACTTATCAAACAACAATTCTTTTGCTGTAAAAATAAAAAGAAAGGAAGAACTATGACTTTTTCAAATACTCTCTTTCTACCTTGAGATCATCAGTGTCATGTGAAAGAAAGAAGTATTCAAGGTTACCACTCTGCTCATCTGGTCTGACCTCTTCTTTTCACAAGGCAAACCATTTCATTGTATTCTTTGTCCACCAAGACCAAAGCTTTGCTTTGTGCTAGAGCAGACCTTTTGCAAAAACCCTTCCAGCCTCATTTACAGACTTCACATTTTCACATTTCTTTGAGCCCTGTGAATGACATGATTCTGGAAACTGGAAGAACGGAATACACTAGCACGGCTTTTTTCTAATTCAGCACAAAGTTGAGCATTATTCTACCTGCTCCAATCTATCCATCTGCAATAGTGTGAAAAAGTACCAAGTTCTTTTGTTTCCTATTACAACTCAAGAGAATTAAAAACATAGCAACAGCAAGTTGCTGGGATATGAGTGGGAAGGTGAAAATGTATACAGGCTTCCTCATGTCTGAAATAATCTGTGTAGAGTACATTCCTCTGTTTCTTGACCTTGTTGTAGACTAGATAAGTTCAGAATTATATTTAAAACCAATGTGTATGTTTAAACAGATAGGCAAAATTTGCATAGCTGCACACTGCTGTCAATGCTTTCTTCAAACGATTCTCCCTTCTTTTCCTCTATAGAAAGAATTGAAAATAATGACAATTTTATCCCATGTATTAGTGACTGCCTGTCCTCATAGATATCATAGATACTTTCTATATGGAAGGAGTTAAGGAGCAGCACAAATAGCAGGTGTAAGAGAGGGAGGAAAACAAGAGGTAAAAGCAACACTTCTGATGCTCTCTTCATCTTATCTGGACTGTGTTTTACTTCCAAGGCACCACTTGAAAAACAATACCTTGAACTTGCGCCATTGCACTCAAATTCTTAGGAAAGGGCAACATCATCAGCTCACACACCAAATCAGGCCAGCAGCTGCTTCTCCTTACAAGAAGTTCAACTGAGTATTTCAGAGGAAGATGTTAACTACCTCAAAGTAAAATTCTGGAATAACATACACATAAAATGATTGTTGTCCCTGGTCCTCCTTAATTACTTCCTGATTCATGGACAAAACCAGAAGTATTTGTGACCCTGTTTTAAAACAAAAACAAAAACCAGAACACCACCTTCATGATCTGCATTCATTCTCATGATTCAAAACAAAGGTCTGGTTTTGAACAAGAGCCTAGCAAAATATTTCCCTGGTCTGATCCCTTATTCAAATTAAAATTCCCACATTCTCAATAAATTGAAGATGAAGGTTTAACAGTTCCATACAGTTATGAAAATAGGATTTGAAGATGGCAAGCATTCTGATAGATGTGAACTAGTCTCTGCCTTGGCCCAGCTGGAACAATACCCTTGCAAGCATGCTTGTTTTTTATTTCCTCCATACATTCTAGTCATAGTTAAATATTTTATATCCACAAGATATTCTGATGCTCTAATTTGGGCTGCCAATTTGACAGCCCTCTGGGGGGCTAACTGAGCTGGGAGTGACTTGGTGGAATACTTCACACAACAGCTGGGCCAAAGGTTTATCCGAAAAGAAAAAAGAGGGAGTACTAAATTATTTTTGCTCCACTAGTGTTTAAGACACCTTCCCTGTACAAACATCAGTAGTTAACAGGCACACCCAATACCTTCAAAGAT